AATGGGCAGCCCTGCCGTTCCACCACTTTCAAAGCTGACATTGCCAGTTATCTCCACAAACACTCAAGGGCTCACTGGTGCCAAGCAGGATAGCCCTGCAAGGAAGTTCATGGACTGTAAATGTTATGTGGTGTCATAACAAGCAATTATGTGCCAAGACTCCTGGGCTGACGTTAACCACTGAAAGACAACTTGGGAAATGTGGTGAGTCCATCCTCGTGAAACCGGAGCTCCGAGGGAGCACAGCATTTAACACTGCCATTCAGAAGCCTTTGGGGAGGAAAACCTGGATCTTTATAAAGCTGAAGATGTTAATCACAGACTCCCTTCTTTAACTCTGGGCTCCAATAAATACGACCAGAGTTACCACCCACACAAAGCCAGCAGCTAAGTTTACCGCTTATGGCATATCTAGAACCCAAAACAACACAGGGTCTGATAGTACGATGAAGGACAACTCCAAGGGGCACCCATATCATCTGCACTGTCCTATCTGAATGACACCTTACTGTGTGGCACAAAGCATGAAGACAAGGCAGCAGAGAAGGGCAGAGACACTTCTGGAGGAGGCGAGAGACAGCAGCAACATGCATCTTGGTAAACGGAACTGTAAAAGCTAGTTCCTTTCTTTCTTTCTTTTCTCCCATATTCTATCCTAGTCCAACACACCAAGTTCATTCTTCTAGCTCTGGGTGTCTCAAATATTTGAATAAGAATAAAATGAAAGAAAAATCTCATTAACAAGGAACTTTCCATTAAAGATTTGTAACAAGTACAAAAATGTCAATTTAACGAAGAAGTCATTCAATTCCTGGCTCTCCTGCCATTCAGTTCACTCTCTAACAATAATGTCTAAGACTTACAATGCAGTGAGGCTTTCATACACACAGCCTCATTCAATCCTGACGGCAGCTCTGAGGGAGGCAGAAGATTTCCACAGCAAGCCAAGACTTCGAAGTCACTCAGCCAGCAGTTGAGTGGAGAAGTTAAATGCAAGTCTCGTGTTCGGCCATGTCCTGGGTATACTTAACCTTATACCTGGAATAATGGAGGAGGCCCTTTCTGTTCAATACAGCTCAAGTTCTTCCGCCTCAGATCACATACCCTTGCTGTTTTGAAAGGTGACTTTTAGAGTGAATCACCGTAATAGCTGGGCAGACTGACTGCCTGAACCACCCAGCCTGGCTACAAGCCAGGAGTCAGATAAAGGGTCGGGAGTCAGCGGTTAAAAGACAGAGCACTGGCTCAATCTGCTAAAATTACGGAAGACCTGACTCAAAGCACTGCTGACAAGGAGAACTGGCCTCAGAACACACTGCCATTATTAACAGAGAGCAAGCTAGCACTGAAATCAAAGGGAATGCCTTCTACCGATTTTTAGGGCAACTAGCTCACTCTGGTGGAGAGAAAACTCAACTACGCAGCCACGAGCTCATACCACCTCAGTACAACACTGACGAAACTTGGGGAGGGCAGCCCACCTTCATGAGCAAACTTGAGACCTACTTAGCTTATCATTAATGACCCAAATTGAATCAGCAATGCTCCATCTGCAAGTCTGTTAGCTGGGGAGGAAGTCTGAAGGCATCTTAAGCACTCATCAAATACAACCACAGAGCACACTGAAAACAATGGCACACACAGACACACCCATACGCAGAACAAATAGTCTAGTTTCTAAAGTTACAATGGTAATTTTTCACTCTGGTAGAAACTACCTAAACTCTACCTAAATGCAATACAGCCCAAATGTTGCCCAATCCTGAGAGAAATACAGCACAGGACACAGCAGCCAGTGATTTCCATGTATAAGAAAAGTGGAATATCTGTGTGTGCTCATGTCAAAGATTTCAACCTACAGTACAACCCAAAACAAAGATGGCAAGATCACAGCCACAGACCTTTTGTGTACACCATCTTAAATCAAATATTTAGATGTGGTGTCTGTACTTAAAAAACACCCCAGGCTAGGAGTACAGCTGTGGGGAGGATACAGCTTGGGAGTAAAGTGTGTGGGAGTAAAGTGTGGTCAACACAAAAATAAATTAATTTGAAATACACTCAAAACTGCTAGTAGTAATTGCTTTTAGGAGAATAAACTTGGGGAGAGAAAGTGTAGTTGAATTTTTCTTTCCTTTTTTTTTTTTACTCTTTGGGGGCCTACCACCCAGCTCTCAAATAAACACATAGAGACTAATTCTTATTTATGAATGCTCAGCCTTAGTTTGGCTTTTTCCTAGCCAGCTTTTCTAATTTAAATTATCCCATTTTTCTTTTCTTCTTTTTAAATTTAAATTAGAAACAATCTTATTTTATCTATCAATCCCAGTTCCCTCTCCCTCCCATCCTCCCATACAACCCACTGACCCCCATTCCATCCCTCATCTGCTCCACAGAAAGGGTAAGGCCTTCCATGGGGGGATCATCAAAGTCTGTCTCATCATTTGGGGGAGGGCGTGTCTAGGCTGACAGAGTATCCTTCTATGGGGAATGGGCTCCCAATGTCCATTCATACACTAGGGATAAATACTGTTCTACTACCAGAGGCTCCATAGACTGCCCAGGCCTCCTAACTGACACCCACGTTCAGGAGGCCTGGTTCTGTCCTATGCTGGTTTCCAAGCTATCAGTCTGGGGTCCATGAGCTCCCCCTTGCTCAAGTCAACTGTTTCTGTGGGTTTCCTCAGCATGGTCTTGACCCCTTTGCTCATCACTCCTCTCTCTCTACAACTGGATTTTTTGCTTCTGCTTCCATCAGCTACTGGATGAAGGCTCTAGGATGGCATATTAGGTAGCCATCAATCTCATTATCGGGGGAGGGCATTTAAGGTAGCCTCTCCACTACTTCTTAGTTTGTTGGTGTCATCCTTGTAGATCTCTGGACATTTCCCTAGTGCCATATTTCTGTTTTAACCTATAACGGTTCCCTCTATTAAGGTATCTCTTTTCTTGCTCTTCTCTATTCTCCCCCGCCCCAATCAATCTTCCTGGTCCCTCATGTCTTCCTCCCCCCTTCTCTTCTCCCCTTCTCTTTCTCCTAACTCCCTCTCCCCTCCCCCCATGCTCCCAATTTGCTCAAGAGATCTTGTCCCTTTTCGCTTCTCCAGGGGACCATGTATGTCTCTCTTAGGGTCCTGCTTGTTTCCTAGCTTCTTTGGAGGTGTGGGTTGTAGGCTGGTAATCCTTTGCTCTATGTCTAATATCCACATATGAGTGAGTACACACCATGTTTCTCTTTTTGTGACTGGGTTACTTCACTCAGGATGCAATCCAATTAAAAAGTGGGGCACAGAACTAAATAGAGAATTCTCCATAGAGGAATCTAAAATGGCTGAAAGACACTTAATAAACTGTTCAACATCCTTAGCCATCAGGATAATACAAATCAAAACAACTCTTGAGATACCATCTTGCACCTGTCAGAATGGCTAAAATCAAAAACACCAACAACAGTTTATGCTAGAGAGGATGTGGAGAAAGGGGACCACTCCTCTACTGCTGGTGGGAGTGCAAACTTGTACAGCCACTTTGGAAATCAGTATGGCGGTTCCTCAGGAAAATGGGAATTAGTCAATCTCAACTATGTTCATAGCAGCACTATTTGTAATAGCCAGAACCTGGAAGCACCCTAGATGCCCCTCAACGGAAGAATGGATTAAAAAAATGTGGTACATTTACACAATGGAGCATTGCTCATCGGCAAAAAGCAATGGAATCTTGAAATTCACAGGCAAATGGAACTATCCCATTTTTCTTTAATTACATTTTACCTCTGGGCTTTTTACCTTTCTTTATTCTATATATCTTTCTTTCCTTCTTACTCTGTGGCTGCTATGTGGCTGGCCCCTACTGTCCTCCTCTCCTCCCTCCTTTTCTTACTCTTCCCTCTTCCCTTTTCTTGAGCATAGATTTCTATTCTCCTCCTGTTTATTCTCTCTGGGTGGTAGCCCTGCCTATCCCTCTCCTCCCTAGTTATTGGGGTTCAGCTCATTATTAGACAATTAGGTGTTTTAGGCAATCAGGCAAAGTAACATAGCTTTTCAGAATTAACAAATGCAACATAGAAGAATGCAACACATCTTTGAATCATTAAACAAGTATTCCATAGCATAAACAAATGTAACACATCTTAAACTAATATTGTACAACACAAAATATATTCCTTCCATTAAATGCTGAAATTTAGTTTTAGTATATAAAGAAAACCCAAATCCGCCTATCAGACAGTGGGGCTCCTGCTCTGATCCAACTGACACTGTTATGATTCTACTACACAGGTTAAGAATAACCAGCTGTGTTGGAGCCAATGATGCAAACATATGCATCCAAGGACTCTGGGTAACGCCTGTGTTCACATGGGACAGTCACCTCTTGTGGCTCATAAAATCCTCACCTCAGCATTCTCCAGTACAAACTGTTTCATCATGCTCTGAAAACTATGATGGAAAGACAGCTATTCTGATTTCCTCATATCCCCACCTGAGAATACACAGAGGAGGCTACATACAATTCATTCACTAGAGCAAGGGAATGAGTCTGGGTCTCCCTTACTCATACTCATGTGTCCTCATCACAGGGGCATAGTTATAACTCTCAAACAAAGTCTTCAACTATGCATGTTATGTGTGTCAATATCCTTAATTTTCTAAAAATGAATCAATTAAAAACTTACAAGGACTTCACTGAGTCTAAGGTAAAATCTATTTCATAAGAATTTTCCAGCAAACATAAGCTGAATGATTTAGTGTGGAATTTTCAAGTACAGGACTAAGACCTGGAATCTGTGCCAGCAGCACAGATTATGGTCCCTCACAGTTCAAATCTACCAGCGAAGAAAAGCAAACACATGAGGCAGAATTAGCTACCAGAAATCCCATTTCCACAATGAAAGGCAATTAGAATCATATGCCATACACAATGAAAGGCAGTGGCTTGGCACAATGATGAGAGTTTTAAAAATCACAAATGAGCACAATGAAAAAATTATTTGAGTTTCTTACCTAATGCAGCATCATCTCCTTTCTCTTGGCTCTTTCCCAAAGAGGCCATCATTTCTGCATGTGCATCATTCCACCAAGGACTGTACTTCAAAATCTGCTCAACAGCCTCATCTTCAAAGAAGTCAGCTCTGCTCAAAAATGAATGGGCTTGTTATATCAGATTACACTGCTTTTCTTTCTTCTTTTTATAATCTTAACTTACCACATTTGCACAGAAATAGCAGTTTCGCCAACTCAATACACAATCTGAGAGAAGACAGAGTACCCTGCTGACATTTTTATGATTATTCATTCCTTAAAGCAAAAGGCACCCTAACTAAAAGGACAGTAGTCGTTTCTGACCTCTTACACAGAAAGCACACAGGAGAGCTGTCCTCCCCTGAGGTCTAATTCTATCTCAGTGCAGCTGAAGTGACTGAATACTGACTGTGCTGCAGTCTAGAACCAAAGCTAGGTTTGTAAGCAGCACACATGTGAGTGATGTTATGACAAAGGACAGACCTTTCAGACCCAGATAAGCAATGAGCAGGTAATTCAGGACACTGCATTACCTGCATTACCAGACACACACGGACACGGACACGGACACGGACACGGACACGGACACGGACACACACACAGAAATACACTATTCAGCATGAATACTTTTTTACTAAAATGCACAGCTACTTTATTTAGCTATGCTAATCTTAACAGTTCCTTGATTTAAAATTATTGAAAACATCCTTTGTAGAAATCACAAAACCCCATTCTTTGGGAGTTTTCTGTACTTTCTCAGTTTCAACTAGAAAAATTAAAGATACATTCAAAATATACCTCTAGCTCTTTTTGGAGGACACATTCAGAAATCACACAATCTTGTCATTGATGTTGAAAATTGGTAAAGTCTAAGACTTTCTGAAGTTTCTATGCTTACTAGTAACTCAAGGAACCAGTTGCTTTCATAAGCACTAATGGTTTAATGACCTCATGCACTCTACTTTTTCAACTAAGAAACTGTAGAAAGACTACAGATCCCCACAGAGCTGCCAGTATGCTGCAGGCACTTGTACAGAGTGTTTTGCATCCATGATTCCCTCCACAACTCCCAGTATCATCATCTGAGAAGGATGCTACTAAAACTCTCCTTTTACATGTGTGGAAACTGAGGCCCAGAAAAGTGACATACATATTTTGGCCAAGACTAAAAAAAAGAAAAAAAGTAAGAAGGCTGGTCAGATGGCTCAGCAGATATGGATGTGTGCCTCTAAGCCTGACTGCCTGAGTTTGATGGCAGAACCAGTATGGTGGAAGAAAAGAACTAACTCCCACAGTTGTCCTGACTTCCACATGCGTGCTATGACATGTACAAACCATTCCCACATACCCCCACAAAAAATAATAAAAATTTTATTTAAAAATTAAACAAGGGACTGGAGAGATGGCTCAGTGGTTGAGAGCACTGGCTTGTTCTTCTAGAGGTCCTGAGTTTAGTTTCCAGCAACTACATGGTGGCTCACAACTATCTATAATGAGATCTGGTGCCCTCTTCTGGCCTGCAGCCATACATGCAGGCAAAATACTGTATACATAATGAATGAATGAATAAATCTTAAAAATATATATATATTAAACAATGCCAGTCATGGCAGTGAACACTATCCCAGAACTTGGTGGGTCTCTGTGAGTTCAAGGCTGGCCTGGCTACACAGTGAGTTACCGGACAGTATAAGCTATGCAGACAGACCCTATCTCGAGAAACAAATAAAAAATAAAAAATAAAAAACCAGTAAATTCAGCTGAATGTGGACACTCAAGTCCTCCAGAATCAAAGTTCTTAACAAACACAAACATTTGCGGGCAACAGAACTGGCTCAGTGGTAAAAAAACACTCATTGCTTTGCAGAGAACCTTGGTTTGATTGCCAGCACCTACATGGTGGCTCACAAGCACCTGTAAATCTAGGAGATCCAACACCTTCTTCTGACTTCTGTAAGCACCAGAAACATATATGGTATCCATACATCCATGCAGGCAAAACAGTCAAATGCATTAAATTAAATAAATCTTAAAAAAATTAAAAATGGTTTATTCTTATGTACAAGGAAATAAAATACACATTGAACAAACCTGAATAGCTATTATCTTAAAGCAAAAATAGTTACTATCCATTTCTGTCAGGTGCACAAGCATACAAGAGTAGGATAAAGCAGCAGTTCAACTAACTAGCCCTGCAAATCTGTTTCCTTATGAAGTGTCCCCGCCTCCTTAGGGAGCAGGTATAACTGTTCTGAATGTAGGCTCTACTACAAATTCAGTCACCTATCAGAATGTGAGCTTCTTTTAAGAACTGAGTGTCAAAAAAGTAAACAGTAAGAGTAAATTTTCTGTCCCACTAACTACCTGACTCATTCAAACAAGTAATGGGGTTCACAAGCCCTCTTTGGCTGAGAAGTGTAGCCCTTCATCAAAGAAGCTTTTCTTAGCAGCAGATGGAAAGCACCACAGAAAATCACAACTGGCCAAAATACAGAGAACAACTGATTGTGAGGTGCCTATCCCCAATGACACAATCACACCTAAGACTCAGGAACATGCTGAAGACAGTGTGGAAAGATGAAGAGCCACAGGACCAGAGAGTCTGCTGTGATACTGTGTCTCCTAGAAGCCACACTCATGATACTGTAATAATATGGATGCTTAAACAAGACCCAGACAATGACAATGCTAAGAGGCATGCTAAAGTGGAAGATGTAAACCTCAAGGGGTCCCAGCCCTAGACAAAGAACTACAGGCAACTAATGGCTACTGAGAAGAGGAAAATTAGTCTTCCCCAGGGAGGAGCACCCTAAGTGGCTATCCAATATAAAAAGATCAGCCCTAAAATCACATACATAGAGGCAACTATAAACAGACTTAATAGGCTGGGAGTGGAGGAGAGGAGAGAAACAGTAATAATTAAAGAAGAAGAAGAAAAAAAAGACCATAAATTGGAGAATAGAGAGAAAGGTATCAGAGAGGTTAAGAGGAAAAGGGTTGGAGACAGAAAAGGAAAGGTGAAAATGATATATTACATTTTAATTAGAATTTTAAAAATTATCAAGAAAAAAAAAAAGGAATGACTTTGTGCCATATTCTACTCTCCATGTTAGGCACTAGATTTCTTGTGGTTACTAGATACAGACTGCCCTGGTCCTCATACAATTTACAGTCCCACTGGAGACTCAAGTATGGCAAAATGCCATGACATAGCAGCATAAAATCCTATAGCAACACAAAACTGACACGACATTCAAGAGCCTTGGGGGAAATACTATTTCAACCAACAGCTGAAAGACAATTAAGAATTCACATTAAGAGGGTCAGAGAGAAGCTGGAGAGATGGCTCAGCAGTTAACAACAGGCACGGCCTTTGCAGAGGACCTGACTTTGGTTCTCAGACTCCATCCATACAAGGCAGCTCACAATCACTTGAAACCCCACCTCCAAGGAGCCACCTCCCTCTTCTGGCCTACACAGGCATTGCATTCCTGTGCACAAACACACAGATCACATGTGGATGCATAATTTAAACTAGAAAATAAAATAAAATAAAATAAAATAAAAAAAAATCTTAGGAGAGAGTAGCCTGAGCTCAAAAAATAGAAATACCTAAAAAACAAGGCTCACATTGAAGGAAAAACTGCCAAGATAGATTGAAAATAAGATACTGATAACAATAACCTTCCAGACATGTCTGATCCATGGCCTACAGGCTGCCTACATCTTAGAGTAGCTATCAATCAGACCCAACACAATAATGTAAAATTACTTTACAAAGGGTTGGACACACCTGAAAGCCACACTAGAATTACCACTAGGGTCACTGAACACAGGGCATGCAGCTTAGAGAGTCAATTCTAAAGAAGCAGAAACTGCCAGAACAGGATGGTGGCAGAGGACAGGGAGCCAAGTAGGTGATCTGACTGACATATAGGTAGAGGCAGGGTCCTCAAGAAGAAGGGGCTGAGGAACTTTGAGAATCAAAGCAATGGTCAGGACTATGGCTCAGCAATGCAGGGGACAACAGTGCCCTTTCATGGAGACAGTACCACAGGAGGTTGAAAGGCATGAAGAAAGGGATAATAGCTTCTGCCTGTGACAGGTTAAGTTTGATGTATCCTTCTAGGGCGTATAAACATACACCTATCCAATAGGCAGCTGGACACACAAGTCTGATACTCAAGATGGAGGCAAAGTCACAAGCACTGTGACCAAGAAAGAGGAAAGAACCATGCAGGAAGAACTGGTCCCATGACACAGTAGGACACAGAAGCACTGAGGACACAGGAAAAGAGCCCACCTGAAGAGACATGAGAGAAAAAGCAAGATGGCTTGGTAAAATGGCACCTCAGCCACCTCCACCCCATCCTACCGCCCCAATAAAACCCTCCAAAATGATAAACTGATTCTTTTGAATAAAAATTCTCAGATACCTTTCCAAGAATCCAAACTGTGATGGGTTATTCTGTTTTCCACTTTTATATTGTACTGGAGACTGACTCTCATGTTTCATACATGCTGGGCAAGCGCTCTACCACTAAGCTACAGCAGTACATCCCTAGCCTGCTTTTTATTTTTCATTTTGAGACAGTCTCACTAAGTTGCTTAGATGGCTTTGAACTCACACAATAGCTCAAGCAGGGCTTGAACTTGTGACCTCTAAACCTTACAGTTGCTTCTTCATAGTCCTCATTACTGCCCTAGCCTCCAGTGTACCTAGGATTTGTGGAGCTGTGCCATCAGGCCCAGCAAATGGTTTATCTTTACACTGTTTATGAATTAAGAGTTGCATGAATATGATTTGTGACTGACTAACCATCTACTTTCCACAATCAATTATTTTCACAACTTAAAATGCCATTGCACTCACTGAATGTCCTCCACACACACAGCAACAGTAAGACCAACGACCTTCCACGAGGGCTCTACTACTTAATCGGAAACATGAACACAAATACAGACATTTAGAACACAATGTGGATTTTTTTTTTTTTTTTTTTAATATGCTACAAAGGTGAGCACTGAGGAGGCCATCCTCACCCAGCCAAAGGGGGAAGGTCCATGACAGTGATGTCTGAGCACAGCCTTGAAGGTCAGTTATTCACAAAATGAGGCAGGGGAGAAAAAGCTAATGACAGGATAGCATTCGTGGAAGAAGTGCATGAGAAGCAGTGGAAATGCAAGCATCAGCTGTTGCCTTGGTATAAAGCATGGGCAAGGAGAGGAGAAAGTGGACTGACAGGAGCAGGGTCCAGATCACAGAGAGCATTTGATACCGTGGTAAGAAAAGAGATGCTTCTGTCTGAAGCTAAAGAGCACCAAGCATGGGTTGAGGCAGACTTCACTAGAGAGCATCAACCACCAGGCTGCTGGCCTCACAGCTGACAGGTCTGATGAAGTCCAGACAGAAGGCCGCCAGGCACTCAGGAGACGGTTAAATGTGAGAAGATATCCTCCCAAAATCCTAGGAAATCTACTTCAAAAATCAAAACAAACAAACAAACAAAAAAAAAAAAAAACACACCAGACCAATGTATCAGCCTCTTTAAAAAGTCCTAATAATGAAAATATACTACAATTTAAAATGACAGTCCAAAAAAGGCTTGGTCATTTTGTTTTTTCATTATCTCACAGATATTTAAAATGTTGATTAAATTCTTCTGGTTCTCACCAAAGAAATAATCAAGATTTTATAAATTGGTTATGATATATATATATATATTGAGGGGACCAGCTCCCCATTTCAGCAGCCATGACAGTAACACGTGCTCGCTAGGACCTTGTTTTAGTCACTAAAGGTTAGGTGCCTGCCTCGTGACAAGGAACCAATCAGAAGTTAGCTGGTGGCGCTATGCTTCATGACCCTGGGTGTACTTCGGACAAGCGCACAGCAATGAAGCACAGAGCACAGTAACCACCCTGGGAGGACCTATGGGCCATAACAACCAGTTGGTCAATCAACACAGGGAAAGCCCTCCAAGCCTGGAGGCACACCAATCGTGACCCTCTGCATACCCCTAGACACTCCCCTTACACTGCCCTACAAGATCTCTCTCTAAAGCAGGTTCGAGCTGTCTTTTGCTAGCCATCTGCCATGGCGGGTGGGTGAAAGACCCGAGCTAACATGGGATTAGCTCGTTTAAAAAAAAAAACAATATAGCCTCATGCAGTTTGCAGCAAGCTCTTGAATCTGCCTGGTGATTGGGGTGACCGCGGTCGTGGCCTGGGACCCCGATACCTGAGTTTTCCAGGGGTCTAACAATATATTTTTTTTCCCAAGAATCAGAAACAAATGTAGAAAGAAAAAGCAATATCCTAAGGAAAAGAAATACAAACATTTGGCCATACACAAAGGTAAAAGATTACTACAGAATTCCTTAAGATGCTATCAACAGACTTTAGCATAAAAATAACGCCCAAGTCAGAAGGTGGCTCAAAGGTAAAAGCACTTGCCACCAAAGCCTGATGATCCGTGTTGAAACCTGGAAACCATGGTGGAAAAAGAAGACCAAACCCTAAAAATGTCCTCTGACACTTGATGACATGGTATACACCTGCTCTCTCGCTCTCTCTCTCTCTCTCTCTCTCTCTCTCTCTGTCTCTCTCTCCTCTCTTACACACACATACACACACACAAACACCTCACACCTCTCTCTCATATGTCATTTAAAATTTTTTAAAGAAGATAAGCTTCTGTATAAAGCAGCACAGGAAATGGAGGGAAATGAGGCTTTGACCATCATGCTGCCAACTATAAACTCCAATATCCTAATCCTCTCAGGCCACAAGCATACTCTTCTAGGCAGTTCTTCTAATTAAGCTCCCTCCCACTTGAAATTTCAGCCTTGAAAAGCTCATTCTGTTTTCATACTGGCTGAGAAATTTGCTGACAATGAAATTCCTACTTTAAATATTCAGCATGATTCTAAATGGGTTTCTTCAAATTACTCTTCAGTGGACCTTTAAAACCACCATTGAAGAGATAAAAGTAATTAGAAATGGCAGTCTAAATGGAGCCGAGTCTCTCAGATGTCCTCCACAGGATAACACAACCTTCTCTCTCCCAGCTTCCCTTAGGATGGTCAACAGTTCAGCCATTCATCACCACACATCACTCATTCCATCTGCACATCACAAGATTCACTTCTGCTATTCCAATTAGTATCCCACTGGGTCACAGGAGAGAGAATGTTAATCACAAGAGCAGTGGCAGTTAAAGTGGAATAGTGTACATAAAAAGGAAATACAGAGTGACAAACGGAGCCTCTTTTCAAGTTGTACCCAACCCACTTAGTAGTAGTGTGACTTGGGCAAGTCCCTTCACCTCTTTCCTCCTTGTGAAAACGAAATGAAACAATCCTGAGGGCACTTGATAAGCTGGAAACACTGTACAAAAATATTGAGAAGTTGTGATTATAGTTATATGGGTAATGTTTTTGAAATCACTGGCCCAGAGCCTGAGAAAAATAATAAATGAGGGCTATATCAACATATAAATTATACTTATTCTCCACACACCAAAGAAAAGGAGGCCCAGTGGAAATGCAAAAACATGCTGCTATCTTGTCCAGTAAGAGACAGCACATCTATGCTTTGATAAATTCCTCATGCAAATATAGTTCTGGGGGCTGGAGAGATGGCTCAGAGGTTAAGAGCACTGACTGGTCTTCCAGAGGTCCTGAGTTCAATTCCCAACAACCACATGGTGGCTCACAACCGTCTGTAATGAGATCTGGTGCCCTCTTCTGGTGTGGTGGCAGAATGTTGTATACATAATAAATAAATAAATAAATAAATAAATAAATAAATAAATAAATAATAAATAAATAAATAAAAGTTGTGACTGAAGGGACCAGACCCTCACCAGCCCCCTGCTTTAGCATGACAGGCTGCAGAAAAGACAAAGCAAGAAGGCCCCTGACTCAGCAACATGTGCTGAGCTTCACTAGGAGGTTTGATACCCTCCATGTGGCAAGAAACTAATCAGAAGTTAGCTGGAAGGCTCTGGATGTGCTTTACAGTGACAGTGATGTACAGAGCATAGCAACCACCCTGGGAGGGCCTATAGGCCATAGCAACCAGTTGATCAATCAACACAGGACAGGCTGCCCAAGTCCAGAAGTGCACCAATCCTGAGACTGTTACAGACACTCCCCTTGCTCTATTCCAATAAATTCCCTGCCCTGTGGTCCCTCAGGGTCCTTCTCACTCCACCCACCATGTTGGACAGATGGAGGAACCAAGTTAATACAGTTAACTGGTTAATTAATTACTCTTTGCTTTTGTATCGGATCAGGTCTCTTGGTGATTCGTGGGTTCAGAATTTGGGCACAACATTGATAACAGCAAAGGTTGCACCAGATGCAGGTGGAAAATACAGCAGAACTAAGATTAGGTTCTAATGATATTGTGCCAGAGAGTAACTACCTATTCACTGCAGATAAATGTTCTAGGAAGATCTCAAACTAGCAAGAAATACAGCACATGTATTCTTACAGAGATGAAGATATATTCATTTACATACACAAACAACCATGACAAAAATTCTACCTCAAAGAAGTACAAACAAATAGTCTCATGAATTTGATGTTTTGAAGACTGTTGAGGAAACCGCTTAAGAGTATTAAGAGTTTTCCATTGCTAGTATAAACTAAGTAGCAAGTTTACAAAGGCTATACAAGTACAGCCATTACAGGTTAGGTGAAATGTGAACTAGGGTTAGTGCCTTCACTAATTCCAGGATATTTCTAGGACACTGAGGAGCTCACTCAGAAGAGTGCTTGCCATGTAAACATGAGGACCTGAGTTCAGATCCCCAGCACCTTCCCAGCACTATAGCTCAGTGAAGGGAAGACAGAGATAAGTAGATTCTTGGAGCTCACTGGCCAGGCCTGATGGGCCAGCCTAGCTGAATGGGTGAGCTCTGGATTCAGTGAGAGACCCTGTCTCTGGAAATAGAGCAGCATGATTGAAGAAGTCACCCATTGTCAAGGTTTGGCCTCCATGTGCACATAACTACACAAACACATACACTCAAAGATTCTGAAAACAAAATTAAGGAAGTGTTAATTAACAATTTAACTGCCACAGAAGTTAATACTCACAAATAGTGATCCGAGTCAAATTTGGCCAGCTCAGCAGCCAGGCGTTTCTGTCTTCGTTCAGTCGCAGGAGTGAAATCTGGATCCTTAATATCAATAACCTCACTCAGTTCATCCTAAAAACACCAGAACAAGAATGAATCCCCAATCCTTAGCATTTAAAAATCAAATGGGGGCAGGGGTGGCGACGACACACGATAGAACTGGAAAGATGGCTCAGTGGTTAAGAGCACTTGCTGCTCTTCCAGAGGACCCAGGTTCAATTCCCAGCGCCCACACAGCAGCTCAAACTGTTTGTATCTCCATTCCAGGGAACCTGCTACCCTCACACTGATACACATGTAGGCAAAACACCAATGCAGATAAAAATAAATAAAATAAGCCAGGCATGGTGGCCCATGCCTTTAATCCTAGCACTTGGGAGGCAAAGGCAGGTGGATCTCTGAGTTCAAGGCCCAGCCTGGTCTACAAAGAAGCAGGACAGCCAGGGGCTGTTACACGCAGAATCCCTACATAACCATAATTTCCAAATTAAAAAAGTTCCTGGGCCAGAGAAATGGCTCAGTGGGTAATCTGTCTGAGTTCAATCCCCAGGACCCTCATGGTGGAGGAGAGAACTGACACCCAAAAGCTGTTGTCTGACCTCCATCTGTAAACCATGGCATGTAACAGGCACACATGCCCACACTAAATAAGTATCTAAAGTTTAAAATTAAAATAAACTCTTTCTTACCACAAAGCGTAAGTACATTAACTTAAGTACATTCAAATATAATGAAGGGATCCAGTGACCTTTTTGGAAGCCACAGGATCAACTAGAATATCTTAATACTTTCAAATACAAACATTTGAGGCAACAACCAGACTAATGGATGTCCACAAACATAAAATTTACATTCCAAAATTCCTTTGCAATTTACTTTTTGGGAGACTTGGAACACATTTTCCTACAGAAATCCTATTATAAACAGTAGTTAAGAGCCTCAGGGCAGCCCTCAAGTTTATGCAATTCATAATAAATTGAAACAGAACATTCATGATGCGAAGAGCTTAACAAGCACGCAGAGAAGTTTCCATGGGAAAACCTTGCAGTCTCTGGAGTTGAACCCATCAGAACGTCTCCTCCCCATCAGCACAGCATCAGTTCTTCCTCTGTTTCCTCACTGAAATTTCTAACTCCAGCCACAGGCTAGGGCTCATGTGGACAAAGACCTCAGGAGGGGAGGCAGCACAACGAATCCACAAGGCTTGCCTTGGTTGAATAGCACCATGGGGGCATTTCCTTCCCTCGGACTGCAACCTACAATATGATGCCAATGCTTCCTCAGCTCCTCTCACCACACGGCCTGATTTCCTCCCTCTGTGATTAGAGTGGGCCCACATACACAATCCATGTCCATATCATCTTTAATCACAGTTGCAAAGTTCTTCTGCCATGTAATATAAAATCTTCACAGGATAGTTAATCACATGGCATCTTTTGGTTCTTCTTGGGGAAGAGGCAGCATTCAGAGCCACATGCTGTTATTAGTACTAAACAATATAATACAGGCCTAAATGCAATCACTAGTGTCTGATTCCCTTTTCTTTCTGTCTCCATTCCATGGCTGTTCCCTGTTACTCACTGACTTCCTACTGGAAACAAATCCTCCTTCCACTGGGGGAGGAGGGGCAGAATAACTAACTACTTAAGACTTAAGGCCATGAATGGGCTATAATCTGTGTTTCAGAGTAAATGGACTCTCAGTACCCAGACTCCTAACTCTACATCATCAAGCCATCTTGCCTTTCAAATGGATGCCAGCTTCTCCCTATGGCTCAAGTCTACTAGAGCCACATACTAGATTTCTTTTCACTTATAGAACATACACATCTGTCTCCACTCCGACCCTCTGCATCTACAGTATCCTTTTCATCATAACCCCATGAGTGTCCCATCCTCCAAGGGGCTGCCTCTTGGCATCCTAGTCAAAACAATCCCTAGGCTCACATACCACCCTGTTTTCCTCCTCATGGTTAATGGCCTTGCTCAAACTGAACCCTAATAAGAAACTAAAGTGGCCAGGCAGTGGTAGCATGCCTTTAATCCCAGCACTTGGGAGGCAGAGGCAAGCAGTCTCTGAATTAGGGGCCAGCCTGGTCTCAAAGCAAGTTTCATGACAGCCAGTGCTACACAAAGAAACCTTGTCTTGAAAAAAAGAAAGGAAGGAAGGAAGGAAGGAAGGAAGGAAGGAAGGAAGGCAGGCAGGCAGGCAGGCAGGCAGGCAGGCAGGCAGGCAGGCAGGAAGACTAAAAGGCAAAAGTAAGTTTTGAATGTGAAAGGCCCTTCAAATGCTTTGCAGTTATTTGTTCCCCATGGAGGTGCTCACTTTGTGGAGGCTGTAGGATCTTTAGGAGGTGGGGTTTAGCTGGTAGAAGTAGGTCACTGGAGGCAGGTCCTTATAGGTTTATTATCCCCATCTACTTCCTGTCTTACACAGCCTCCTGGTCCAGGGATGTGAGCAGCCTCTGCCATATGTTATCGTCACCATGAATACACTACTCTGGCATGCCTTCCCTATCATGATGGACAGAAAACATGAAGCAAAACCTTTCCTCACTTACACTGCTCGTATAAGGCACTGTAGTAAGAATAATGGAAAGCTAATGCACAAAGTCAGACTGGAGTCTAAAGTGAGGAATGGCTGGGGGCGGGGCTTGGTGGTAGAGCACTTGCTTAGCTTGCATGTGGTCCTGGATTCAATCCTCAGGATTACAAAAGAAGAAAAAATATGAGGCATCAATCAACCAAAGGAAAGGAAGAAACAAAACTGAACTTCAGCAGAAAGAAAAGAATTCTTTTTCTCTGTTTTAGAATTGCTGTGGTCACTAGTTCCGAGTGATCTGAAGATGAAGACTGCCAGGAAAAGGTCATGGAGGATTTAAGCCAGGCTTGTGTATACTTAAATCACAGATCAAACAGGAGCCAATCCGGAAAGAAAATGAACTGTGTGTGCATCTGGCCAGTGTGTCTCCTGGAGACAAAGGCTTCAGGTCTGAAGCAGCCAAAGGAAAGCAAGGGCCAGAAGGCTTGGCATCCTGCAACTAAGGCTGTCTCAAGAGACGGCTGGCTGGGATGGCGCCCAGAGACTCCAGGATTGTGGTTGCTGGCAGCCACCAGTGCCAACAGCTTGTTGTGCAGCCCTGACTCTGAGCAGCCAGGGCAGTTTTCCAAAGACGCCCTGGTGGCTGGCAGAGATTTCAAAAAAGACAAGAAATCGAGTGTGTGTGTGTGTGTGTGTGTGTGTGTGTGTACATGGGAAGCAGGGTGGGAAGACAAGAAATCGGGTGTGTGTGTGTGTGTGTATATATGGGAAGCAGGATGAGAAGGGTTGGTGAATTTGCTTCAGCAATAGTATTTTCATTATCAGATAAAATAGATTAAGTTTGCAAACCTGTTTAAATTATTCACTGAAGACATTATTTTTTCTTTGTATTACATTTTTAATTGCCTTTATCATCAGAGAAAACAAAACTATTTCCATTTAAAAGAATAGGGAAATACTGGCAAAATACAAGTAGTGAAAAAATGTTTTGGGTGTGTCTTGACTTAAAGGCAGAAACTAGAGAAACTAAAACTGAGAAAACACAGCATTAGAAAAGTAATTTTTTAAACTATATCATGAGACAAATGTTCTGAATTTTTTTACTGTGTGAAAACCTTTGGTAGAAGCATCTATAGCTTCTATACTAAAGGAAAAAGGGCAATGCTGTCAATGTTAGATGGTCACTTTTAGCCACTAGATATGACAACAACAAACGGAGCAGCTGTAAACACATGTGATAAAACATACCGACCTTACTAAGATTTCTGAACGTTTGATTAATTCCTAATGTTATGAAGAACACCATATCCCTCAAATTTAATTCATGTAAGAAAGTCCCATTTTCTTTAAGCTTTTTACTGGATTTGTCTTCTGGTAAAAAGTGCAGAAACAGTAAAAGTAAACTAGTAAAACTAGTATTGTTGGGCTGTTTCAAAAACAGTGCTCAGAGAGATCCATATAAATCCCAACTTGGTGGCTTCAGGTTTGGGCCTCTCTGCACTGCAAAGGTCCTCAAGAACACTCACTGTGCTTAATAGTATGTGTTAGAAGGCTAGGGCAGTGCTCTCTATCCAAGCACATTACTACTTCTACAGTAATAATTCAGATACACACACTAAACATGTAGTTTATAATAGCTTTAAAAACATACTGGGGAGCCGGGAGTTGTTGGCACAGGTTTTTAATCCCAGCACTCGGGAGGCAGAGGCAGGAGGATCTCTGTGAGTTCCAGGCCAGCCTGGGCTTTATAAAGTGAGAACTTGTCTCAAAAAAAGAAAAGAAAAGAAAAGAAAAGAAAGAAAAGAAAAGAAAAGACAAGGAAAGGAAAGGAAGAAAGAGAGAAAAAAAGGAAAGAAAAACTAGAACAAAAACTATATCGTTTCAGATAAGGTTTTGGTGCCAAATTCAACATATGTGAAAACTGGAAGTTTGGAGAGCATCATGGGGTGGCAAGCGTCCACTGCTGGCAGTGCACTCCTTACATTCTAAAACCCTTGGAGTCCACTTACTGGAGTGCCCTTCTCTTTCTAAATTGAGGGAATGGAAGCTCAATTTTTTTTTTTTTTAGGAAAACAACGTTTATTTTATTAAAATTTGAAAAAGAGCTTAGCAATTTTAGATACTTAAACTAAATTAACAAACTCAGCATTTCTGACTGGGGAAGAGAAGATGTAATCATAAAGGGATAGACAGAGCCTCCTAAGTACACTAATACTTCTAAGCTTTGACAGGTATACAGGTATCTGATGCTTTAGTCACACCATTCAGACAGACACAGAATACTTCCTACATACGTATCTTAAAATACCATGTCATTTCCAAGAGTATATATAACTTTTATGATTTAAAGTACCATTTTTTACAATAAAATTTAGGTGTCATATTATATATCTGTGCTCCTAAGACTTGAGAAGGAGAGGCAGGAGAAAGAAGTTCAAGGCCAGCCTCAACTACTTAGTGAGTTCCAGGACAGCCTAGGATACATAAGACCCTACACCAAAAAACAGAGAATATTTTATAACAATGTTTGTTTAAAAGCAACCTAAATAACTTTAAGAAGCTTTTCAATAAATACAAGAACCTCTGACCTAAAAGGGACTTGGCCTCACCTGAACTATGGTCTTCTAGCATCCTTTAAGCAAGAAACCCTTCAAAGTGGTCACACATAGTACATTTGGGAAGCTGAGGCAGGAAGATACTGAGTTCAAGGCCAGCTATATAGTGAGACTGTCTCCAATCAGCAAAGCAAGTAAGCAAAGCCCTCAAAAGGATCTTCCCTACCAGCAATCTTGCACAGGGGCACTTTTAACCTGAATGGAGATTCGGGACTTAGCCTGTATGACACTTACTAGCCTTCATTGCTAGCTCTGGACAGGCCAGCCACAAATAAAATAATCACAAACTAGCTGCTGGCCAAACAACTGGGGCCCACTCACTTTGGTTTCTGCCACAGATGCATGAAACTGATTCTATTCTAAGTACCTTGGAGATCACCAGGAAAACAAGACCAGGAGTGGCAGAGGGCACACCACATGCTGCAGAAAAATACCCATGCTTTTACGAAGACATGTTCCCGTGGGTTACTTGCTGCTGGGTAAATGCCAATTTTGTTCTCTTGCAGGAATCTTGAGGGTAACTTCAGTGTTTCAAGGGCAGGAGTCTTTAGAGTGTCCAACATTTTCCAGAATTTTCTCTAAGTTTGCAGTATCTCATGACATTTTCAGAATAATTTACAGAATAGGTTACCAAAATCATTCCCACTTTACCGAGAACAATTTACTTGTGGCCAGCGATCATCCCAAATATAAACAGAGGCAGAAAGAAGTACAACCAGAATGTAGACTCTTGGCTTTTTTTTTTCTTGAGACTCAGATACACCTTACTACCTGAGTACCACTCGTGGGAAAATCTAAGATGCAAAACATTGCAAAACCTGAAACTTCCTAAGCAGCACTCAAATGAGAGTTTGCATCTGCCATCCACCAAGAATAAGCAGAATACAGTATCCACTATACACCAAGAACTGAACAATTTTATCAAAACACAATCTAGAGGAGGCACAAACCTGTAATCCCAGGAAAGGCTAAATTAGCAGAGGGATCACAAGCTCTAAGAGAGCCTGAGCTCTATCTCTACCTACACCTACCTAGCTAGCTACCTACCTACCTATACACATATACAGACAAGACAGACAGACAGACAGACAGACAGACAGACAGGCAGGCAGGCAGACACACACACACACACACACACACACAGGTCCCCAAGTTTAAAATAAAAACAAGCAAGACTAAATAAAAAGTTCACAGGCTCATCTTCATCAGAAAATCCTGTCTCCTGTATATGTAAAACAGAAACTCCATCACACCCTAGTACTTGATCTCCATCCCTCAGAAGTATCATACTTCCTTAAGGTTGTCTAGAAGTACCAGGAGGGAGGTTGTTTGTATTTGTTCTAGATTGTTCCCATCTAGAACCCTAAGGACAGCAGCATGCTGGACAGGGAAGAATGGACAGCTGTCCGATCCTGCTTGCCACAAGCACTAACTATGCCACCTTAAAAATGCCCCAGGTAATCAGAAATGAAGTTAAAACATCCCGTGTGCCACAGTCTTCCAGAGGGACAGCATACCTGTAACCGCTGAACCACACCTGCTCGCAGGTTTCCAAATCCATAGTGACACTGTGAGAGCAGAGCACTTTCTGAGACCTCTTCATAGGGAGTCTGCTCAATTTCCCAGTCAAACTCCGAATCCTCATCATCAGCTCCTTCCTCAGAAACCCCAGAAGCACCTAAATGTGTTAAAAGTTATTTTTTTTCCTTAGAGTCCTGAGGTCTCTAGTACAAAGAGAGGACGAAGTTGCTATAGGGAAAAGGCCTACCACTGTGCACCAAAGGCACAGGCAAGAATATTCACAGCTTTACTGCTGGTGATGGAGAAAAACTAGAATCAGCCCAAATGTTCACCAACAGTAGGAGGTACAGATCAACTCACAAAATCATCTACCATACAGTGATGAAGGTACATATATGATGTAACAGATATACCTCATAAGAACGCTGAGTGTAAGAAACCAGATGAAAAGAAACACACTCTAAGGAATAATTATGTCTGCAACTCACAATCAGGCAAAGGAAGGGTACTGGTGGTCTAGGAAAGAACAGGGACAGTACCTGGGAAGACCATGGATATTGGAAATAAAATAAGCACTACAGTTCATGACCTCACAGGTGTTCATGCTTCATAACATTTTCAACTATACACTTCTGACAGGACACCGTTTTAACTGATAAAAGAAAAATGTGCCTGGTTATTATTTCTAATTATGTACCAGATAAGCTATTTTTCACATTAACTTGAACCTTTCCTTTTTTTTTTTATTCTCTTGAACTTTTTTCCTCCAATCTTCTAGCCCCAAGTCTCTTCCCCTAGAAACACAAACTATTACAAATATTCCTACTTATTGTCATTTACTCCCAACTACAGTCAACATACCTATTTCTTCCACAAGTGGTTTTGCAGACCTGGATTTTCTTGGGGCCAGAAGAGCAGTTAACATGTTCAGCCCCTCAAAATGCTGGCCAGGAGTTTCCTTGGGCAATCGAATGGTAAAAATTCCTTTAAAAGAAATTTATATTTAGACAGATTAAAATATTCAAAGACTTTCTTTATAAGTATATATAAGAGAAATGCAAGTATATGTAATTCTATAAGGAGATACCGTTGTTAACTATATAACTGAAGAGAATTAATATCCATAACATATGAAGAACTCAAAACACAAAATACTCAGGCTGGGAAAAAGGCCCAGTTGGTAGTGTTTCTCATACAACCATAAGGATATAAGTTTGAATCTATAGCACATATACAATAAACTAAATACAATATCAAATATCTATCACTCCAGTGCTACAGAAGTGGAGATAGGAGAAACCCTGGGATATGCTGGCCAAGCTGAAGCAGCAAGCTCTGGGTTCAATGAAAGACATTGTCTGAAAAATTAGATGGACTGTAATGGAGAAAGATACTCTTAGTTAACCTCTGGTCTACACCCATATGCATATACACACATGAATACATACACAGGTACAAACCTGTAACAGGCTTTCTTTTGGGCCACCAACCAGCTCCCAAATCACAACACAGAGACTTATTAGTTATGAATGCTCAGCCTTAGCTTACTCTTCTTTCACTAGCACTTATAACTTAAATTAACCTGTTTCTTCTCTACATCTACATTTTGCCTCAGGCCTTTTTGCATTTCTTTCATTCTGTACGTACTACTTTCCCTGCTTCTTCTGTGTCTGGCTGGTGGCTGCCTGCCTGACTAGCCAGGGGCCTCTCCCTCACTTTCTCCATTGTTCTCTCTTCTCTCCAGCCTAGATTCCTCCTCCTACTTATTCTCTCTGCCTGTCAGCCCCGCCTATCCCTCTATTGCCTAGCTACTGGCTAGTCGGCTTTTTATTAGACCAATCAGGTGCCTTAAGCAGGCAAGGTAAAACAGCAACACATCTTTACATAGTTAAACAAATACAGCATAAACTAACATAACACATCTTTATATAGTTAAATAAATATCCTGCAACATAAATAAATGTAACACATCTTTACACAGTTAACATAATCCACAAAACAAACCACATTTACATACATATACAAAGAAATAGACAAAAAAACCCTACCCAACCAAATGGCAAATAAACACATGAAAAAAATGTTCAGCATTCTTAGCCAATAAAGAAATGCAAATTAAAAATACATTGAGATTCCATCTCAGCTCAGTCAGTGGCTCTTACAAAGAAACAATAGCAAATGGTGGAAAGATGCAGAGAAAAGTAACCCCTTATACACTGCTGGTAGGAATATAAACTAATTTTACCACCTTGGAAATCAGTAAGGATGACCCCAGAATACTGAAAATAGAATCACAATACAATCCAGCTACCTCTCCTAGGTATATACCCTAAGGAGTCCAAGTCATCACACCACAGAGACACCTACACATCTAAATTTCCTGCAGCACATTCACAACAGCCAAGTTATGGACTCAGTCTAGGTGCCCATCAGCAGATAAATAAAAAAAAAATGTATTATCTACACAATGAACTTGTACTCAGTCATAAAAAAGAATGATGTCATCTACAAGAAAATGGATATAACTGGAGATCAAATTAAGCTACATAAGCCAGATGCAGAAGGACAAATAGGCTTTGTCTCATTTGTGACTGAAGTCTTTTCATAGATGCATGAACACATAGACAGACTGACAGATGATATACACCTCTCTCTCTCTCTCTCTCTCTTTCTCTCTCTCTCTCTGTGTGTATGTGTGTGTGTGTATATATGAGAGAGAGAGAGAGAGAGAGAAAGAGAGAGAGAGAGAGAGAGAGAATGGGTTTGTAAGTGTGTGAGACATGAAAGCATATGGAAATTCGGGGCAAAGACACTAGCAGGAGAGGAAAGGAGGGAGAAGGAAGAAAGGAAAAAGTTTGGGATGGTAAATAATGGTCAAAATATATGATATACTTGAAAGAAATTGTTTTCATGAAGCTTAACACCTTCTGCAATGAATATACACCAATAAAACAATTTTAACTGTTAAAAACATTTTTAACTATTTATAAAACATAATTCCTCATGAGGTTCCAAAATTTGGCCCTTATTATACATTTAGTGACTATAAATCAAGGTTTTTTTTTGTTTTTGTTTTTTTTAAAGTCTTTAAAAGGGCTTTTCTTTGGCTGGACAGTGGTGGCGCATGCCTTTAATCCCAGCCCTCCGGAGGCAGAGGCAGGTGGATCTCTGTGAGTTCGAGATCAGCCTTGTCTACAAGAGCTAGTTCCAGGACAGCCTCCAAAGCCACAGAGAAACCCTGTCTTGAAAAACAACAACAACAAAAAGGGCTTTTCTAGAATTGTCACTTCAATCAGAAATCAATGTGTCCAAACTACAGAATGCTTTAGTATCGCCTAGTACCATCTTAATCTGTCAAAATATCAAAATTCAAAGAGTTTCTAAAATTCAGTGGCCTGAGGAGGTAACAGCATTACCCAACAGTTACTTATAAAATATATTTCTGGACTAAGAAGGAAACTAGAATATCTAATCCATAAAATAGTGACTTTAAACTACACTAAAGCAATTACAGTTTAGTAATTGCTTTATTAACTCAAGAGATTTTTTTTTTTTTGTGACAGCTTTACTATTTAGTCTTGGCTAGCCTTAAAACTCACATGAAATGAGATGTTCCTACCTAAGGCTCCTGGGCACAGGATTACAAGTGTGTGCTCCTATTTCCAGCCTACTGTTTTAAACATTTTACCTCTTTTGGCACACTGACATGCAATCCAATATATCAAATGCAACTCCACCCAAATACCCATACATATACAACTCAACTCTAAGAACTTTACGCTTTTTATTTTTTTAAGGTTTTTTTGTTTTGTTTGTTTTGTTTCTAATACATGTGAGTACAAGTGCCTACGAAAGCCACAAGAGGGTGTCAGATTCCCTGGAGCTGGAGTTACAGGTAATCATAAGCCTGTGTACTGCAAACCAGAAACTTACATCCCCTCCAAATGGGACATATATGTGATTAGCAGCTGAGCTATTTCTCCAGCAATGAAGAGATAATTTCATTTTAATTATTTCATTATTATATGTAAGTTATTAGCAATTAAAGGTAGGCCCATAAGCTACGATGGCAGCTTCCTTATATATCATTTTCACATCAGTTATACTGCATTATGAGTGAGAATCTGATCATAAGTTTCTTTAGTCTTGTTTCCCTCCTTTACCCTAGTTCACTGGTCACTTGTTACTGAATAAATTATGAGTGTACACAAGCTCTTTAAATTTAAGAAATTATTATTATTGTGGGTGCATGTGGGGCACATTTGTGCTATGATTATGTGTGGCAGTCAGAGCACAGCTTTGGGAAGGCAGCTTTCTCCTTTTCCTTTACATGGTTCTGGAAACCAAACTCATGTTGACAGGTTTACTAGACAAGCGCCTTTACCCACTGAGCTACCTTGCTGGCCCCACATGCTGCTCTTACTCCAAACCCACTTACAAAGGAAAAGACAAGAGCTTGTAGAAGAGTAAAATAAACCGGTTTTGGGGCTAGCTAAAATGGGGACTTACCAATCATGAAAAGAAAATTCAATTACTCTTTACATTTCTTCCATGGATAATTTCACATCTACCTGTTATTAAATTTTAACTTTGAAAACTGTCAAAGAAAAATTCCATTCAAAAGCTCATAAATCATCCCTACTTTAAAATCAATCATTTCATGTTGATGTTTACTTTTGCACATGTGCCAAAAGTAGAAACAATTCCAGAAAATGAAACTAGAACATTTGATCTAAATTCACTTTAAAGAGTATTGAAAAATACTTTAAAAGACAGAAAACTGCTAACTGCGCAAAAGCCAGATAACAGGCGCTAAACATTAAAGAAAGAGTTATGCATCATACAATAACTGTTAGACATCTAAAAGTCCCCATGGTATCTTTTAGGACTACTACTATGAGGTATAAGTAACATAAGGAATCCACAAAACCCTAACCACCACTGGGCCTATGGCTTAGTCAGTAAGGCACTTGCCATACAAGCAGGAGGACCTGAGTTTGATTCCCTGAACCCAAATAAAAACATAAGCTATGCGTGTAATCCTGGAGCTGGGGTGACAGAGATGGGTATTCATGAGGCTCACTGCCCAGCCTTTCTAGCCTGATAAGCAACAAGCAACTAAGAAACCCTATCTAAAAAGCATTCCTCCAGATGACATCAGAGGTTATCCTTTGGCTTCCATTTGCACATGCACACACATGAACCCCCATACACACACAAGCCCCTCCCAACACACCCACCCACCTACAGCTACATATGCTGTTGTATAGTATCTCGGAGTCAAACTACTCCCATCTTCAGCTACGGGAGGCTCTGCCCACAAAAGGTTATCACAGCTGAGCCTGTGGAATATTTTACCTTGTCTCACAGAAGGAGAGGGTCAGAGGGTCATGGGACCCTCACCTGATTATTCAGCCACTCTCCATCCCCAACCAGTGTGATAGATAAAATTCTGTCCCAACTGCATGTGGGTCATGGAGGAGGGGATAGAGTATAGGATGAGGGGAGGGAATTCAACCTATGCAGTGCTGGGGAAGCCAGGCAGACCTTCCACCGTGGCTACTTCAGAATCACCTATGCTCCTGCCCATAGCCCCTTACCAGTGCACTGCTCTGTAAACCTAAAATACTCAATGGTTCCCCCAGGGAACTTTGATGGAATCACACCTAGTTTGTCAAATGAGACCTTAGGAGAGGCAGAACTTGTCTCTTAGGGAAGGAATTTTAGCAACACAAACAAACACACACATAAAAAATATAGAAAACTTTGTCCAAAACCCCAAAGGCCATACCTTTATCTGCATCATAGGTTCCCTGTTCACTTCCATTTTCTACAATCCTTCCAGGAAGTGTTAATCTGCAGATTAAACACAAGGTAATCCATCACCAATCACAGTTCATTTTTAGCCATCAAAATCTATCAACCATTTGAATGGCAACTTCTCCGCAATTCGTTCACATTTTACAAGCTAAATAACTTAGATTCCTTCTTCAACTAAGAAAGTAAAAATCAAAGATATCACGACTTTCCATTTAATACTTTAGCTATCAATAATCAGATGTTGGGGGGCCTCACTATAAACCTTAGTTATCAAATGAAGTTATGTTTGTTCGGCTTTGTTTTAACTTAATTTATTAATAAAGCGACATCTAAGGTTTGTAGGTATAGGGGAAATAGTTTATACAGGGTTCATTACTATCCATGGTTTCAGATACCCACTGAGGAGTCTTGGAAATATCTTCAAGACATCTAAAAGTCCTCATGGTATCTTTTAGGACTCCTACTATGAGGTATAAGTAACATAAGGAATCCACAAAACCCGAACCACGACTGGGCCTATGGCTCAGTCAGTAAGGCACTTGCCATACAAGCAGGAGGACTTGAGTTTGATTCCCTGAACCCAAATAAAAACATAAGCTGTAGTGGAACATTCGTGTAATCCTGGAGCTGGGGTGATGTCTAACAGTAGGGGGGTGACCTACTGGATTTTCAAATTGACATGCTAATTGACATCTAATGTGGTTCCCTTAAAGCAGTGAAGAAACCAGCTTGACAGCAGGGGAGGGCTCAGTTGAAAAGTGGAGGGCCACGAACGGATGAGCAAGTTTAGGAAGGCTCACAGAGTCCACTGCACAAGGGGGCTAACAGTACTGCCTAACTCAAAGTATGGCTATCAAAAATAAGACGCGAGCGCTTAAGATACTGCCTACCTACCACACGAAAGGTGGCCCCAGTGTCAGCTGCCACTACTGTTTTGGTTCCACGGGGAGAAAAACACAGACGGAAAAGTGCTAAGCACTGCTCGCCTCTCATGGACTGACTAATCAGATGCAAAAGGAACCTGAGAACTAACTGCAGGAATCAGAGGGCGGTCCTCCAAGAGGCGGACACGGAAAGCATGCCGGCGTGGGTCAAAACACCGACCCACGCGGGGAAGTCACCACGCAGGGGAGAGGCGCGGGCGTGAGGCGAAAGAACAGCACAAGCCAGAAGGACGAGGGTGACAGGACAGACACTGAGTGGGTGGCCCCGTGCTCTGTGGCAGGGGGGACAGGGGCCC